GGGTTATCAAAATCACAGGTGTCAAAACCTTGGCGTATCATTCTTAGGATGTTTCACATTCCTGTTTAAGATTTCACTTACAGTTTAAACAGAAGGTTTTGTTGTTACTATTTTTGGTCTTGCTTGAGTCTATTCCCAGATTTACTTTCTTCTTTAGATGATTAAGAATCACAGAATGGGCCAGGCACGGGGACTTACACCTGTAATCCTACCACTTTAGGAGGCTGAGGTAGGCAAATTTAAGCAGGAGTTTGGTCAACATGTCAAAACCCCGTCTCTACAAAAAATACAAAAAAGTAGCCAAGCATGGTGGCACACATCTGTGGTCCCAGCTACTTGGGAGGTGGAGGTGGGAGGATCACCTGAGCTCAGGGAGGTCGAGGCTACAACGAGCCATGATATTGCCACTGCACTCTAGCCTGGACGATAGAATAATTGAGCTAGATTTTTTAGGTTTTACCTTATAGTGGAACATTTGGAGTCTGAGTAGCTTTTTTCTTTTATTAATTTAAATATTCTTGTGCTTATATTAATAATTTTCCAGGGCCGAGTGCGGTGGCTTACACCGTAATCCCAGTGATTTGGGAGGCTGACGTGGGAGGATTGCTTGAGGCCAGGAGTTCAAGACCAGATTGGGCAATGTAGTAAAACCCCACCTCTACAAAAAATACAAAAATTAGTCAGGTGTGGTGGTGCATGCCTGTAGTTCCAGCCACTTGGGAGGCTCAGGTAGGAGGATTGCTTTAACCCAGGAGGTCAAGGCTGCAGTATGCTATGATCCTGCCACTGCGATCCATCCTGGAGGACAGTGAGAACATGTCTTAAAAATAATAATAATAATTTCCTCAGGAAATCCAGTTAATTCAGTAATATTTATAGGGTAGAACATTTTCCTAGATAATAAAAATTTATTTGGCCTCTATTAATTGGGAGCTATTTTTTAATATATGTTGAGATACTTTGCTCAAATTTTAGGAGGAATATTTAAACTACTTAAAGTGTCTTCCAAGTACCTTTGTATTTGTTAAAGTACTCATGTATTATAAACAATATGTTGTAGATAATTACTAAAAGAGGTCATACTTGATTTGTCATTTTTTTCTTTCTCTTCTTTCTTTTTTTTTAGATAGGGTCTCTCTCTGTTGCCCAGGCTGGAGTGCAGTGGCATGACAGTGGCTCACTGCAGCTTCAAAATTCCTGGGCTCAAGTGATGTTCCCACCTCAGCCTCCCAAATAGCTGGAACTACAGGCATGCAACACCACACCTGGCTAAGTTTTGTTGTTTGTGTTGGGGTTTTTTCTGTAGGGACAGGGTTTCCCTATATTACTTCGGCTGGTCTAAACTCCTGGGCTCAAGTGATCCTTCCACTTCAGCCTCCCAAAGTGCTGGGACTATAGACGTGAGACATCGCACCCAGCCAGTTATTTTTTTTCATTGTAAAACTTAAAATTTAGAGATTCAGACAGACTGCCACAACTGTTAGTTCTATATTCTTAGCCAGCTATCTCATAACTTGTTTCTCCTTTGAAAAAATCTAAAAAGACTTACAAGTCTTTTTAGGTTATTAACAAAGCCTTATTAGGTTATTAACAAAACCCTTGGCACTTGCTTTTGAGGTGATGCTGGTGAAGGAAAGCAAAAAAAAAAAAAAAAAAGAAGCAAGCTTTTGGGAAGATCTTAAATGGTTAAAAAAAATAATTAAGATCTGTGGATGGCTCCATAGTATTAGTGTGAAGTAGGCACTTTTTAGTTTTAATAAACATCCAAAGTACTTTACTGGCTACAATTCAGGAAATGAATATACTACTGACTGCTTGTAAATAAGTGAGTTGAAATATTTGTGTATTTGCTTCTAAAAAAAAATCATCTAATGCAGAGATCAGCAAACTTTTCCTGTAAAGGATCGGATAGTAAACACTAATGTTTTAGGCTTTGCATACCCTGCAGTCTCTGCTGCGCAGATTCATCCCTGCATTGTAGTGGAAAAGCAGCCAAAGACGGTACATTAACAAATGAGAGGGACTGTGTTCCAAAAGAAAGTTTATTTAGAAAAACAAACAGTCAACAGTAATTTGCCAGAGTTTCAATTTAAAAATATGTCATTTATGGGAACTCTGTGTACTTTCTGCCCAGTTTTTCTGTAAACCCTAAAACTGCTTTAAAAAAAATAGTCGCCGGGCGCGGTGGCTCAAGCCTGTAATCCCAGCACTTTGGGAGGCCGAGGCGGGCGGATCACAAGGTCAGGAGATCGAGACCACAGTGAAACCCCGTCTCTACTAAAAATACAAAAAATTAGCCGGGCGCGGTGGCGGGCGCCTGTAGTCCCAGCTACTCAGGAGGCTGAGGCAGGAGAATGGCGGGAACCCGGGAGGCGGAGCTTGCAGTGAGCCGAGATCGCGCCACTGCACTCCAGCCTGGGCAACAGCGTGAGACTCCGTCTCAAAAAAAAAAAAAAAAAAAAATAGTCTATTGAATTTTTTTTTTTTTTTTAATTGAAACAGGGTCTCACTGTGTCACCCAGGCTGGAGCGTAGTGGCACGATCTCTGCTCACTGAAGCCTCCGCCTCCTGGGTTCAAGCAATTCTCCTGCCTCAGTCTCCCAAGTAACTGGGACTACAGGTGTGCGCCACCACACCTGGCCAATTTTTGTGTTTTTTTAGTAGAGTCGGTGTTTCACCAAGTTGGCCAGGCTGGTCTCGTACTCCTGACATCAAGTGATCTGCCCACCTCAGCCTCCTGGATTACAGGTGTGAGCCACCGGGCCTGACCTAAATTATTTAAAAATGTCACAAACGGCCAGGCGCGGTGGCTCAAGCCTGTAATCCCAGCACTTTGGGAGGCCGAGACGGGCAGATCACGACGTCAGGAGATCGAGACTATCCTGCCTAACACGGTGAAACCCCGTCTCTACTAAAAAATACAAAAAAAAACCCGCCGGGCATGGTGGCAGGTGCCTGTAGTCCCAGCTACTCGGGAGGCTGAGGCAGGAGAATGGCATGAATCCGGGAGGCGGAGCTTGCAGTGAGCTGAGATCGCGCCACTGCACCCCAGTCTGGGCAACAGAGCGAGACTCCGTCTCAAAAAAAAAAAAGTCACAGACAATAAAAATAATTTAGAATGAAATGATGATCAAACCTCAAAGACATCTCTTGGTTTTTACTGAATAATAAATTTACTAGATGACTAATTATAACTATTGACTGTCATCTATGCTTACAGAGGGCTTCAGACCATTCTGTTTTATAGGGGTCTTTTTAAAAACTTATTTTACTTGTTGATTAAAACAAAATTGTGACATTATTACATTTGATAACATAAACACCTAGAGGACCTTTTTCAACATTTGGGAGAATTGTTGGAAGAATCGCTGATTTAAAGGATTTCCTTAGTTGAACACAAAATAATTGCTGAAGAATTTTTAACAATGTTACTATTCTTCTATCATTGATACAGTAATTACTTTGAGTGTCCATCCTACAGTATTTATTTTTTCTCCTAGTCTATAAATATACCCTGGAGTGTGCTTGTGACTGTCAGTTAAAGTATTTGCAGTCATTGACTGTAGTATCTATGTCATTCATTTGACAATGCATTTGAAAAATTAATTTAGACTAATGTGTTGTTGCAGCTGAATTAATTTTAATGGATTTTCTGGGGTTTTTAGTTTAAATATCACTGTAATGTATCTATTTACTTTTAAACTTTTTATTGTGAAATGTAACACATAGAAACATACATAAAATAGATGTCCAGTTTAATAAATTATTATAAAGCAAACATCAGTGGAACTACCATTGCAGGTCAAGAAGGTCAAAGAATAGAGCGTTGTCAGCATGTCAGAATCCCCTTAAAAGCCCCTTTCCAACTATAACTCCTTGTTACCACAGATAGCTGGTAATCTTGATTTTTTTTTATAGCATCCTTTTCTTTACTTACTAATTTATATTTTATTGAGATGGAGTTTCACTCTTGTCACCCAGGCTGGAGTGCAGTGGCACAATCTTGGCTCACTGCAACCCCCGCCTCCTGGGTCCAAGTGATTCTCCTGCCTCAGCCTCCCAAGTAGCTGGGATTATAAGCATGCGCCACCATGCCCAGCTAATTTTTGTAGTTTTAGTAGAGAGATGGTTTCACCATGTTGGCTAGGCTGATCTTGAACTCTCAACCTCAAGTGATCTGCTTGCCTCAGCCTCCCAAAGTGCTGGGATTACAGGCGTGAGCTACTATACCCAGCCTATTTCTTTACTTTTTTTTTTCTTTTTATTCTATTGCCCAGATGGGAGGTTTCACCATGTTGGCCAGGCTGGCCTCTAACTACTGACCTCAAGTGATCTGCCCACCTTCGCCTCTGAAAGTGTTGGGATTACAGGCGTGAGCCACTGTGCCCAGCCCATTTCTTTACTTCTTAATAGTTTTATCTCGTATATGTGCAGCTCTAAACAATATAGTTAAATTTTGCCTGTTTTTAAGCTTTGCATTACTTTTAATAGCAAAAACCACAGTTACTTTTGTATCAACCTAATAAATAGAATAATATAGTAAAGACTGGTTATAGGCCAGGCGCGGTGGCTCATGCCTGTAATCCCAGCACTTTGGGAGGCTGAGGCGGGTGGATTACGAGGTCAGGAGATGGAGACCATCCTGGCTAACACATAGAGCCCCGTTTCTACTAAAAATACAAAAAAATTAGCCGGGCGTGGTGGCGGGCGCCTGTATTCCCAGCTACTTGGAGGCTGAGGCAGGAGAATGGTGTGAACACGAGAGGCGGAGCTTGCAGTGAGCCAAGATTGCGCCACTGCACTCCAGCTGGGCAACAGAGAGAAACTCTGTCTCAAAAAAAAAAAAAAGACTGGCTATAAAGATTCTAATATATGTGAATGCTAATGTATAAGTATAGTAGATCCATAATATAGACATAAGTATTTGTGTTTCTGACTGCAAGAAACACTTTAGTCACCTAAAACATTTAATTTTATAGAAATAATATTTTGTTTTTCAGGTGAAACTTCCACCGATGATGGAAATCATAACTGCTGAGCAGCTGATGGAATATTTAGGTTAGTGTTGAAAAGTGGATTTTATATCTCTTTCAAAACAAACATTTTCAAAGCTAGTTTATTACCCAGTCTCACCTTTCTGAAGTGCTATTATATAATCTATTTTAAAATTACAATTTTGAATCTGCTAATTAAAAATTTTTATCAGTATGTTACTGTTCTTAGATGGTATAGTCTTCTTTCTGACCAGCATTGAAATTCTATAATACACATGAGGAATCTAGGTAACGTCTAGAAAACAAGATACATCTTAATCCCAATAAATTGTAGAATGGGAGATGGCACAGAATCGCTGACATTGCATGTGGAAAGTGTTCAAAAATATTGGGTAGACTTGAATTAAAGACAAAGGAGGTGATTTAGAGCAGTGCTACTGAAAGTGTGTGATTCATGGACCTATGCCAGTCTACAAAATGTTAGTTATCAGTCTGCAGTGAGATAGAATCTTCTCCTAGGATGTAAAATATTTACATTAGTAAGCACACTGTTCATTTCAACTGAAATTTTTTATAGGAAAATTTTCTTGTTGAAGGAAGTAATGTATTGAATTGCATTCTTCTCTAAGCTGCTTATTTCTTTTTTTTTTTTTGAGACAGTCTCGCTCTGTCACCCAGGCTGGAATTCAGTGGCGCGATCTTGGCTCACTACAAGCTCCGCCTCCCGGGTTCCCGCCATTCTCCTGCCTCAGCCTCCTAAGTAGCTGGGACTACAGGCGCCCGCCACCGCGCCCAGCTAATTTTTTGTATTTTTAGTAGAGACGGGGTTTCACCGTGGTCTCGATCTCCTGACCTTGTGATCCGCCCGCCTCGGCCTCCCAAAGTGCTGGGATTACAGGCCTGAGCCACCGCACCCGGCCTAAGCTGCTTATTTCAAAACAGACCAGTAATATAGTTTGTAGACTGGCTACATTGAGTTGAACTTGTTTAGAGAGCAGGCAGTTGTACATCACATTGTGGCCTTTTATAATCTGGCAAATAAGAATTTATATATTTATACTATTACCAAATAGGAAATCTTAATCCGTATTCTTACAGTTTTTTCAGTATTTAAATTATTATTAAGACCAGGTGTGGTGACTCACGCCTGTAATGCCAGCACTTTGGGAGGCCAAGGCAGGTGGATCACTTGAGGTCAATAGTTCGAAACCAGCCTGGCCAACATGGTGAAACCCTGTGTCTACTAAAATTACAAAAATTAGCCGGGTGTGGTGTCATGCACCTGTAAGTCCTAACTATTTGGGAGGGTGAGGTGGGAGAATTGCTTGAACTCAAGAGGTGGAGGTTGCAGTGAGCTGAGATCATGCCACTGCACTCTAGCCAGGGTGATGGAGTGAGACTCCGTCTCAAAAACAAAAACAAATTTTGTTTTTTAAAAATCTTGTCACCTGGGGCCGGGCACGGTAGCTCATGCCTGTAATCCCAGAACTTTGGGAGGCCAAGGTGGGCAGATCACGAGGTCAGGAGATTGGGACCATCCTGGCTAACATGGTGAAACCCTGTCTTTACTAAAACATACAAAAAAATTAGCCAGGCGTGGTGGGGGGCGCCTGATGTCTCAGCTACTTGGGAGGCTGAGACAGGAGAATGATGTGAACCCGGGAGGCGTAGCTTGTAGTGAGCCGAGATTGCACCACTGCACTCCAGTCTGGGTGACAGAGTAAGATTCCATCTCAAAAAGAAAAGAAAAGAAATATCTTGTCCACTGGTTAATTTGTCCGTACCCTTCCAGACAACTAGTTAACTCATTTTTTTGTGAGATACAGACTTAGTGATATAACTGACACTGCAAATTTTAGAAGACTCTTTTTTTATTTTTTTCTTTTGAGACAGAGTCTTACTCTATCGCCCAGGCTGGAGTGCAGTGGCGTGATCATGACTTGCTGCAATCTCGACCTCCCTAGGCTCGGGTGATCCTCCCACGTGAGCCTCCCTAGTAACTGGGACTACATGCACATGCTGCCACATCCAGCTAATTTTTAGATTTTTGATTTTTTTTTTTGAGACAGAGTTTCACTCTTGTTGCCCAGGCTGGAGTGCAATGGCATGATCTCAGCTCACCACAGCCTCCACCTCCTGGGTTCAAGTGATTCTCCTGCCTCAGCCTCCCGAGTAGCTGGGATTACAGGCATGTGCTACCACACCCGGCTAATTTTGTGTTTTTAGTAGAGACAGGGTTTCTCCATGTTGATCAGGCTGGTCTTGAACTCCCGACCTCAGGTGATCCGCCCACCTCGGCCTCCCAAAGTGCTGGGATTACAGGCGTGAGCCACCGTGCCTGGTCAAGTTTTATTTTTGTAGAGATCAGATTTCACTGTGTTGCCCAGGCTTGTCTTGAACTCCTGGGTTTAAGCGATACGCCCGCCTTGGCCTCTCAAAGTGCTGGGATTACAGGCATGAGCCACTGCACCCGGCAGGAAGACCCTTATTTCAGAAAGTATAATTGGAGGCTGGGCGCGGTGGCTCAAGCCTGTAATCCCAGCACTTTGGGAGGCCGAGGCGGGCGGATCACGAGGTCAGGAGATCAAGACCATCCTGGCTAACACGGTGAAACCCCATCTCCGCTAAAAAATACAAAAAACTAGCCGAGCGAGGTGGCGGGCACCTGTAGTCCCAGCTACTCGGGAGGCTGAGGCAGGAGAATGGCATAAACCCAGGAGGCGGAGCTTGCAGTGAGCTGAGATCCGGCCACTGCACTCCAGCCTGGGTGACAGAGCGAGACTCCGTCTCAAAAAAAAAAAAAAGAAAATATAATTCGTATCATTTAATCCCCATTCACTGGCTAGGGACCTCATAGTTAAGGGTAGATTACTCTGAATACCTAGATGTCTGCAAATTGGTTTAAAAAGAAAATCCCTCTTTTAGGCTAGCTTAGTGATTCTTTTAATTTTTATTATTATTTTAAGTTTTTATTTTTTTTCCCACGGGACGCTGCTTGATAAATGATTCTTAAAGTTAGTGATTCCTAAGTTATATTTTATGGGGAAGGCTGAAATATACTGGGTGATTTTGAGGAATAGCCAATATGACTGCCAAGGAGTACACAAAGGGGAGTTGTAGGAGATGAGATCAGAGAGTTGACGCAGTCAGATCATATGGGGCCCTAAGGATGTAACAGCAATTTTGGTTTTTGCCATAAGTAAGCTGGGAAGCTGTTGGAGGATTTTGAACAGAGGACTGACATGATCTAACTTTGGATTTAATAAGAATTCCCTAGCAGTTATGTTGACAATAGACCTTAGCGGGGTAAGGACAAGCGGGAAAACCATTTAGGAAGTTATTACAACTAGCAACAGATGGTGGCTTTAACCAAGGTAAAATAAGTGAAATTTGTAAGAAGCGGTTAGATTCTGGATAGAGAGTTGACAGAATTTGCTGATCAGTTGGATGTAGAATGAAGGTGGAGTCAAGGGTTATCTCATCGTTTTTGGTTTGAACTAGTAGAAGGATGGAAATAGGAAAACTGAAATAGGAAAAAATGGAAGGGGCAAGGTTTTTAGGGAGAAATTGCAGGATTTTTGTTTTTAGATGTTTATCTACATCAAAACGGAACAATCAGGCCAGGCACAGTGGCTCGCGCCTGTAATCCCAGCACTTTGGGAGACCGAGGCAGGCAGATCACGAGGTCAGGAGATTGAGACCATCCTGGCTAACACCGTGAAACCCCATCTCCACTAAAAACAAAAAATTAGCCAGGTGTGGTGGGGGCGCCTGTAGTCCCAACTACTCAGGAGGCTGAGGCAGGAGAATGGCGTGAACCCGGGTGGCGGAGGTTGCAGTGAGCAGAGATCTCGCCACTGCACTCCAGCCTGGGCGACAGAGCGAGACTCCATCTCAAAAAAAAAAAAAAAAAAATGGAGCCATCAGGAAAGCAATTATTGAGAGAGATATATATATATCTTGAGTTCAGAGGAGAGGTCTGGATCAGCACTATACAATTAAAATTTCTGTAATGATAGAAATGTTCTGTATCTGTACTGTCCAGTTTAGTAACCACTAGCCGCATGTGGCCCTCAAGCTCTTAAAATGTAGCTCGTGTCTTGAGCCCAGGAGTTTGAGGCCAGCCTGGGCAACATGGTGACACCCCATCTCCACTTAAAAATTCAAAAATTAGCCAGGCGTGATGGTGTGCACCTGTAGTCCCAGCTACTTGGGAAGCTGAGGTGGGAGGATTGCTTGAGCCCAGGATTCAGAGGCTGCAGTGAGCCAAGATCACAACACTGCACTCTACCCTGGGCAACAGGGCAAGACCCTATCTCAAAATTGTGTGTGTGTATATGTGTTTGGGTGTGTGTGTGTGTGTGTAATGTGACCATAATTTACATAATGTAAATTAAATTTAATAGCCACATATTGCTACTGTCTACTGTATTAGACAGTACAAGTCTAGTCTATAAATATGTATTTACAGACAACATATATAAACAGTAGTTAGATTGGGTGAGATCATTAAGGGAAGGAATGTAGTAGATAGAAGAGAAAAGGTCAGTAGACTGAGTCCAAGATATGCCAGTGATTAGAAGATGGGGAAGGAGAAAGAGCCAGCATGCCCAGCCAGGTAGAAGAAAAATAGGAGGCTGTGATTTCCTAGAATCCTAATGAAGAAATGTTTCAAGAAAGAGTGAGAGATGAGCTGAATCAAATGCTGCTAATAGCTCAAACAGGAGGAAGACTAAAAATTGACTATTTAGCCATAAGGAAGTCATTGGTAACCTTGATGAGAGTATGGGATGAAAACCTGACTGGAAACAAGAGAAAACTGGAAACCCTCACACCTAGCCAGTAGAAATGTAAAATAATACAGCCACTTTGAAAAGCAGTTTGGCAATTCTTTAAAAAGTTAAAGAGAATTACCGTATGACCATGAAATATCATTCCTAGGTATTTACCCAAGAGAAGTGAAAACATATGTCCGTACAACTTGTATAAAAATGTTCGGGCTAGGTGCTGTGGCTTATGCCTGTAATCCCAGCATTTTGGGAGGCCAAGGCGGGTGGATCACAA